TGTGGTGGTTGTTTAGGTTTTGTGGTGGTTGTTGGGTTTTGGCGGTTGTTGGAGTGTTGTGGCGGTTGTTGGAGTGTGTTGGCGGTTGTTGGGGGTATTTTAAGCGGTTGTTGGGTGTTTTGCGGTTTTGTTGGAGTGTTTGTGGCGGTTGTTGGGGGTGTTTTGGTGTTGTTGGAGTGTTGTGGCGGTTGTTGGAGTGTGTGGCGGTTGTTGGGGTATTTTGCGGTTTTGTTGGGTGTTTTTGGCGGTTTTGGAGTGTTTTGTGGCGGTTGTTGGGGGTGTTTGGTGGTTGTTGGAGTGTTGTTGGCGGGTTGTTGAGTGTTGTGGCGGTTTTGGGGGTTTTGGCGGTTGTTGGGTGTTTTGGCGGTTGTTGGAGTGTTGTGGTGGTTGTTGGGGTATTGTGCGGTTGTTGGAGTGTTGTGGCGGTTGTTGGGGGTATTTTGGCGGTTGTTGGGGTGTTTTGGCGGTTGTTGAGTGTTTTGTGGCGGTTGTTGGGGGTGTTTTTGGTGGTTGTTGGAGTGTTGTGGCGGTTGTTGGAGTATTTGGCGGTTGTGGAGTATTTTGGCGGTTTGTTGGAGTGGTCGGTTGTTGGGGTATTGTGGCGGTTGTTGGAGTGTTGTGGGCGGTTTGTTGGGGTATTTGGCGTTGTTGGGGTATTGTGGGGTTGTTGGAGTATTTTTTGGCGGTTGTTGGAGTATTTTTGGCGGTTGTTGGAGTATTTTGGCGGTTGTTGGGGATTTTGGCGGTTGTTGGAGTATTTTGCGGTTGTTGGAGTATTTTGGCGGTTGTGTTGGATATTTTGGCGTTGTTGGGGTTTTGGGCGGTTGTTGGAGTGTTTGTGGTGGTTTTGGAGTATTTTGGCGGTTGTTGGAGTTGCTGTTGGTTGGTTTAGTTTGAGAATTTTTGTGGTTGTTGGTTGGTGGGTGTTTTGTTTGTTGTTGTTTGTTGGTGTCGGTTGTGGATTTGGTGGTTGTTGGTTGTTGGAATATTTCGTTCGTTGTTGTAGTAATTTGTCGTTTGTTGTGGCCATTTGTGGAGTTTGGTGGTTTATTGTTTGGTTGTAATCGTCTGTCGTTTGCTGTAGTTATTTGATACAGTTTTCTGTAGTCGTCTTTGTTGTATTATTTTGTCGTTGTTTTTTATCGATTATAGTCTATTGAAGTCGCTGTGGCCACGTGGATAGGGCGACTGGATTCAGTTATCGTCTATATTTGCATAATTCCTTTCATATTCCTATCTTCTATTAATTTATTCTTATCTTCCATTCATTTATTCTTATCTTCCATTCACTTATTATTTTTCGATTGCGTCATCGCCCGTGCGTGAGGTGATCGGCGCTCAAAGTCTGTTGACGTGCATGCAACATTTCATAACCGCTTGGAGACGGGGGTTGTGCGCCATCTGGGTTTATTACTCACGCATAAATAAAGAGGATTTACTAATTACATTCCCAGGGGCACGGGACGAGAGGGTACGTACGGTTGGCTGTCATGGCGAGAAAGTCTGCCAAGGTTGCTTTCAACAACGGGCCGTCAGAGGGCAGTAAACACGAGGGTTGTGGAGAAGGGTGAATGGGTGAGGGATGGGGAGGGGGGATGGGGAGGGAGGGAGGAGGGAGGAGAGAGGGGGGGGAATGGGAAAGGGGGGGGGAGGAGAGGGGGGGAATGGGAGAGTGGAGGGAGGAGTGAGGAGAAAAGGGTGGAGAGTGGGGAGAGTGAAGAGAAAAGGGTGGGAGAGTGGGGGAGAGGGCGAGCGTGAGGGAAGGGGAGAGGAGAGAGAAGGAAGGGAGAGGAGGAGGGAGAGGGGAAAGAGAGGAGAGAAGAGAGAGAGGGAAGAAAGAAAGTGGAGGGGAAAGCAGTGTGGGGAGAGAGGGAAGTATGTAAGGGAAGAAAGGAAGGAATAAAGAGAGGAGAAGTGGTCGAGAGAGGGGGATGGGGAGAGGAGATAAGTATTAGTAAAAGGGAGTCAAAAGAAAGCATGTGACGAAATAGAGGAGAGAGAGAAAAAAAGAGAACGAGAAAGAAAAGAGAGAGAAAGCAAGAAAAATATGAAGACAGAAAAAGAGAGAGAGAGAGAAAGAAAGAGAGAGAGAGAGAGAGAAGAGAGAGAGAGAGAGAGAGAGAGAGAGAGAGAGAGAGAGAGAGAGAGAGAGAGAGAGAAGAGAGAGAGAGAGAGCGACGCCAAGGTGCCAAGACAAAAAGTAAGAAAGTTCACCTCCTCGAGTCTCGCGCTAAACCGGACTGACCGACTTACGGGCAGGCGAAGCGGGGTCTTTCGCGTCTTGCCCGGAAAACCGCCTCGTCTCCGCTCCTGAAATGCCCTTTCTTCCCCTCTCTCTCTCTCCCCCTCTCCCCTCTCCCCTCTCTCTCACCCCTAAATTTCTTCAATCTATTCTGAAATGCCCTTCTCCCCTCTCTCTCTCTCCCCTCTCCCCCCCCCCCCTAAATCTTCCACAATCTATTCTGAAATGCCCTTCTTCCCCCTCTCTCTCTCTCCCCTC